TTCCTTTTTTGTTCAACTGAAAGTTGAAACAGAGCTTTCACATTGAGCTTCATCCCCACCCCTTTTTAAATTTTTTTAGCCAGTTGTGGCATCTTACATCTGTAGTTTCAGCACTCAGGAAAGTAAGGCAGCAGAAGTGCCATGAATTCAAGGCCAGCCTGGGCTACATAATGAGACCCTATCTCAACAAACAAACATATTCTTGAGACAGGGTCTTGCGAAGTTGCCTAGGCTGGACTCACACTTGAAATCTTCTTGTCTCAGCCTTGAAACTATGTTGATATTACACATATGTACAACCTTGCCTACCTAGAGATAAATTGTTAAAATCAACAAAGCTACATTTCTTTTTTTGAAGACTGACATTTAGACTATTTAAACATTTAATTGAATCTTTATTTTATGTTTCAATCATTTATTCATTCATTTATTTGGTACAGCTTGGACTCTGTGTTGATCCTCCTGTCTCAGTCTCCCCAGCACTGGGGTGACAGGTGTGCACCACTGTGCCCAGTTTCAGTGACTGGGACAGCATGCCCAGGATTCCATGGCCAGTATGGCATGCAGTATTAGGGACAGAACCAAGGTCCTTACACTTGCCAGGCAGGCATTAAGACCTCCAAGATAAGTCTCTAGCCTTTAATCTTTAATTTAAATCAGAATCTTCTTTCTGAAGAAAAGTTTAAATTTAATATACAGAAAATTGTATTGATTTTTGGTATTTCTGATTTAGAATCACTAATCAGTACTTTTAAACTTGTTGTTGTGAAATGATTAAGTAGATAAAGCCCAGCATGGGTTTGGTATCGCAGTGTTGTACATCTTCAAGTCTGTTCTCCTCAGGTTGTTGGGAAGTATGGCGCTGTCAAATCACTATCGTTCTGAAGATTTGTTAGACGTCGACACAGCTGCTGGAGGCTTCCAGCAGAGGCAGGGGCTGAAATACTGCCTCCCTTTGACCTTTTGCATCCATACTGGTTTGAGTCAGTACCTAGCTGTGGAAGCAGCAGAGGGCCGAAACAAAAATGAAGTTTTCTACCAGTGTCCAGTAAGTAGAAGTGTGTTTGAATGTGGCTTTAGGGTATATTCTGATGATAACATAAATGTGTACATTAGTGTTTTCACGGTTGTACATCAGGGATAGAGTATTATATTTTTTCAACCAGCTAAAAAACTAATATTCTAACATAATGGTATGAAATGACAAAAGCAAGCTTTGCTATTGCGCAGTGTGAACTCTTGTATGTGTAGAGGAAGAACTGTGATTTAAAGTGTAAGAGAAAGTAACAGGGAACTTCTCATTGAAATACTTCATTATATATTTCTAACTTTTTAAAAAATTAGCTTTTGAACATATTCAGGTTTCTTAACTCTCAACCCAAAGCCCTTCTGGGTTATAACAAGCCATCTATCTTACCCAACTTCATAGTTGTCTTCTTGAAGGCAAATTTCTTCATTCATTGTGGCAAAAGTTACAGTACATAAGTATTTATGTTCCTGAAATGCCCAGCACTCTTCCAATGATATTTTAGGAAGAGCCTAAACATAGGAATCTTAAGAGGAAGAACTGAAAAATAGGAACAATGCCTGAATGTTCATTGGAACACTTAAGTTAATTTACCTATTTTGCCTTGTTCTGGAAAGAAACTCAGGTAATGAACAATGAGAAATATATCAATTACATTCTCTTTCTCACCTAGGACCAAATGGCTCGGGATCCAGCTGCTATTGACATGTTTATCATAGGTAGGAGAAAAAGTCATTCTTTTCTCTTCCTTCTGGTTAAAACAGAAAGAGTTGATAAGTTGTGAGCAACTGGCTACGTTATATTGGATTTGTTAAGGCTTTCTGGCTTATAATTACTGCATCTAAGCTCTTATTGGAATAGCTCTTGTATTTTCTTTGAACTTTGTTTCTGTTTGGGAAAAGGACATGCCCTTTGTAGTCTTGTGCTCTTCTATAGATTGGTGAGGTGCCTAGAATTGCTTTGTATATTAACACATTCCTCCATTTTCTATTGGTCATACTAATAGCTCATTGGACACACATGAAGTGACTACATACTATCTTGGTGCTAATACTAGATACCGATGAGTCATATTAGAGACCTCAAGTGCAGTCTTTCAGACCACTGTAAATCATGTGCTTCATGAAGTCCTTGGCACAACCCATTTTCCTTGGTCATAAAAGGATATTTCTTACAGGTTTTGAGAATCCATTAATCAGTATTCAAGTACATTTGTTCTTCATCCAGTCTAATGTTGCTTAGATTTTGCGCCATCAGAAGCACTGTGGCTGTTCTGCTTTTTAAAGGCATTGCTGACACATACTAAACATTTCCATGTATTAATAGTGAATGCAGGAGACCTATGGATGTGGCTCAGTGGTAGAGCACATGCGTAGCACACACCAGGCCCTAGATTAAGTCCCTAGCACTACAAAGAAAGAAAACCAAAGAGGCCTTACTAGCTGTCACATCTTTTAATTGGAGCCTTGAACAGAAAGTATTCATGGTCCATACCATGACACAGTCTGGGTTGGTGGTATACTTTACAGTATCAAGATCTTACTCCTAGCTAGTTATGAGAGCTTTTCAATGTAGGCCGTTGTTCCTAATTCATTGGGTGTGTGGTCTCTGGTCTCTAAATTTAGCCCTCTGTGAAGGTTGTGCTCATGCTCCTTGCACGCACTGGCATCTTTGCATAACACTCGGAGAGCTGACCATTGCAGCTTAAGCCTAGCAGTGCTACTCAGCTTATGGACTGAAGGCTGCCCCAGCGATCAGGGAAGGTGCTCTTAGGCTCTGTGTCTTACAGTTGGCCTGGTGCTTACCTGTCATCATGAGAACAAAGTCCCCATTACCCCAGAGCACCAAGGCCTGAACAATGCTGTTCTAGAAGCTTGGAAGTCTAGAGAGGAGAGGAGAGCAGAGCAGGTGGTGTGAGAGGCACTGAGAGCAGATGAGGTGTGGAGTGCATGCTGTGGGGAAGATGGAGAGACCAGCCTCCTGACCTTGCTGAGTGCAGCACTAGCTAAGGAACTGCCCAGTCCAGGCTCTCTGGGAAACTACCTCAGATATAAATTGCATCTTGATTCAGTTAGGTTTCAATAGGATTTTTGATAGCACACACGATGACATCTCCTGGTGTTCAGGGCACTATTATCATACATTTAAGAAAACAGATCTATCCACAGGTGAGTTTAATAGTGAATGCTACCTATTCTGTCCTTACCTTAAAGAATATACTTTGGTACATGATATACTAAAATTAAGACACAAGTTTTTTACTTTTTCTTTTCAATTTGATCAGGCATTTCACTATGCAATTCATATTAGTAGTGATCCTCTTGTCTCAGCCTCCCCAGTGCTAGGATTACATGCGTGTGCCACAACGCCCACTTTCAGGGCTGGCACAGCATACAGTATCAGGGATCGAACTTGCATCCATGTGCAGGCAGGCACTTAAACCAGCAAGCTATCTCCCCAGTCCCAATTACGACACACTTAAGTGGCCCATGCCAATTTGTTTATATGCAAGTCATTTATTTATATATATATAATATTACATGAAGCATACAACATGACTTTTAAAAATTCTTTGGTACACATCTGTAATCCCAGCACTTGAGAGACTGTGGCACGATTATTGTGAGCTTAATGTCAACCTGAACTATACAGTGAAACCTTGTCTCAAAAAAAGCAACAAAAGAAATCACTAGTTAGGGGCAGGGGAGATGGCTCAGTGTAATAAGCACTTCCCTGGCAGGCACAAGGGTCTGAGTTCAATTCTCGGTTCCGCCAAAATAAAATAAAATCACTAGTAAGAAAGTCATATTTTTTTTTTAAAAAGAAATTACTAGCTATAAAGTATAAAATGGAATAAAAATATAGTAAAAATATGTGAAAAAGTCAGAAGAAGAAAGTTATATCCAAGATACATTTAAAAAAATTATTTTGTGGCTCTGAATTAAGCCCAGAGCCATCTATGAATTTTAATATTATGCAGCTAGCTCTCTAATATCTGACTCAAAGTGGATTAAATAATGGGTGCTCTTTGAGTGCATTTAACAAGTAATGAGTCAAAGTAGGCCATTAATAAACATTGAGGAAAGAGCTAAGCTATTATAGTTTACCTTCTTTCAGTTGATGCTTTGAAAATAGTATAGTTTTGTACTCTCAGGTACAAAAAAATATTATGTCTTCTATTCCTTAAATAATATAATTAGCAAATGCTATAAATTTAGCATCTGGCATTTAGTGTGGTAGAGTGTAGAACTGGGTTAATTGAAATTAGACTACAGAGAAATTTATTGAACACTAATTAAGGGACTAATGTTTGTAGACTTGTTAACGTGTGGGGCAGTCTGAAGACATTGTGCTGTGCTACGTGTAAGGTAGAAACATACGGGATCTCCATAGCTGCTGTTGACTCAGTGCACCATTGAAGTGTGGTCTGCTCCAGAGTGTTCGAGTCTTTCTTTTCTACCTTGAGCTGGTAACTTAGAAATTTTTGGTTTTGGTGTGAGGACCGAACTCAGGGCTTCCAGCTTGCTAGGCAAGCATTATACCGCTGAGCCAAGCCCCCAGGCCCTGGTAACTTAGAAGATAGAGGGCCACTCTGCTACACTTTGGATTGGCCCAGTGCACAGCAGTCCACGTGTCATGCCCCTGGTAGATATCCAGACTCATCGTGGCTTCTGCCAGGGTTTTCTGTGTAAGTCAGCATGTCCCTGGGCCACAGTGTACCCTGATCATCTGAGAATAGATGCTGACATTTTCATTTAGTAGTTTCTTCCTAGACATAGCTAAATCTCCTTTGTTTTAGAAATTATGGACAGGAATTTTTTCATTATTTACCAGATTCAGTGGTTATAAATGTTTAAGAAAAAAACAGTTGAAGGTAGTTGGAGGAGTCCCTAACAAGGGTTGTGAAGAAGCAGAACTACAAGCAAGTAAATTGACTGGGACTGAATTGAAATTGACCAATAGAGGACCAGTAGAATTACATCTAGGGACCAGGGAGATGCCTCAGTAGAGTAAGCACTTGCCTGGCA